AGGAGGAGGTAGAGGGGATTCTGATGATGCTTCTGATGATGATGATGATGACGATGATGATGACGATATTGATGATGATGATGATGACGACGAATATGCCGCTCATGCTGTTTTCGACGACGGCGACGATGACGACGATGATGTTGATGACGATGATCATGATGATAATAAAGGTGACGGTGCTGATGATGATGATAACGATGATGTTGTTCATGATGACGACTATGATCAAATTGGTGATGATGGCGCTGCTGCTACTGATGCTGATGATGATTATGATGCTGATGATGAGGATGCTGCTGATGCTGATGATGATGCTGATGATGAATATGATAATGATGAGTTCTCGTTTTTTGAGAAGAGTTTGGTGCTCCCCCCTCCGCTGCCCATGTTCTTTTTTCCAAATCATCCCAACAAGGGAAACTGTTGTGCCTCAGACGGTGTTGTTGATCCACCAACTACAACAACAACGGCTCCAGCCTGATACGTCCTCATAACGTTTTTAGCGATTTCAGACTCTCGCTAGCGACTTCCTCCAAATTTCCCAGGACTCGCTCTCTCGCGTTGGACTTCCTCGCGATTGATTGAGACGCTGCGCCGTGACACTCGGTAATCACGCTCTCGCTGCGGCCTTCCTCACGATTTGCTTGGGAATCGCGCTGTCGCTCGAGACCTCCTCGTGGTTCATGCAGGACTGGCGCTTCAGCGATCCGCCCGCTCGACCTGGCTGTCTCGGCCCGCCACCCCGACCTGCCCGTCTGGTTCTTCCGCTTTCTGTCTTGCTCCTAACCTCCCTTATTCGAATCTCTCTCTCTCTCTCGAGCTACATCCTTCCCGCTTCCCCTTGCCCCTTGCCTCCTCCCACCCTGCCCCTGTTCTCGAGGCTGCGCCAACTGCACGTGGCAGGTAAGGAAGATATGCCCCCAAGGGGGGTACGATCGAAGACGAAGAGGGCGGGCATCGAGGGTTTGGGATATACATGTTGTTGCCACGCGAGCAGGTGTGAGCGAACAGTCTTCAATAGGTTGTTGTTGATGATGATGGTGATGGTGATGGGGACGGTGATGTGGGTAGCGATCGCGATCATGCACGTGTTAGGGATGCTGTTGGTGATGAGGATGGTGATGATGATGATGATGCAGATGCCGATGGTGGTGATGGCGGTGGTGATGCTGGTGGTGGTGACAGTTATGATGGCGACCGACCCTCTTGCCCTCGGTCCCTCGTCTTCTCTTAGATCCTTCCTTTGTTCTGATATTTGATACTTCTCTCTTTCTCTCACACTCGTTTTCTCTCCCTCTCTCTTTCTCTCGCGCTCTCTGGCTGTGCCGCGTGGCTTTTGCGAAGGATCCAGGCTTCCAATGCTACTCGCACAACAAGTACTTCGCTGGCTGCAGCGGCATCTGCGACGTGGATGTCATACCCGAGGCCCGACGACTTTCTCTAGTTCTGTTACGAGGGGGGTATTCTTTTTCAACATTGCTTCTCATTCTCCCTCCAGTTTTCCCTCTCCTTTCCTTTCCTCCTTCACCTTCCTCTTTTCCTTTCCTTTCCCATTTTCCGTGGAAAGCCGTGCGAATGTGGCGGGTTGTAAGGGAGGATCGTTTCTTTGAGCCTAGTTACTCGTCTTCGACCATTCGTATGGTCCTCCCTGGTCAGCGCGCCACCTTGGCAGCCTTCCGGGTCGAGTGAAGGCGTCCCGCGCACGCGCGCGCCCGAGCGGGAGTGCCCGCGCCTCTCAGCGGGCGGCCTCCCTGAGAGGCTCAGCCTCCCACTGCGCCGCCCGCCGGCAGGCGGGCTGCAGCCGCCTGCGCACCCGCAGGCGCAGGGCCGTGCTGAGGCGCGCGCCTCCCTGGCCTCCTGGCCCCCGCCGGGAGAAGCACGCCAGCCTCGCCTGGACCACGTCGGGTCCTTGTCAAGCAGTGGCGAAGCGTCCTGGCTCGCCTATAGGCCCGCCAAGGAATGTTCTAAGAACTCTCTGTGGTCTGCACGAGACGTTCTCAGAACATTCCTGGCTGGGATTGTTTCGTTTTAGCACATCGGGCTTATGTTCTGAGAACACTGATTTTGTGATTCGAACGAACATTTCTGGGTTCTAAGAAGATTTCGTGGTAGGCCTATAGGAATGCCGGGACGGTCGGTCCCTGCTCAACATTCGGCCTCGCGCCAGGCCGTTTTTCCTCTGGCGGGACTGCGCCGCGAACGCCATCGGCGGCGCAGCCGTCAATCCGCCTCCGCGCAGGTGTCGGGCGAAGGCGCGTGGGAGGCGGTCGCGGCCGCGGCCCAGGTCGAGGTGTGCGGGCGCCCAGGCGCAGGATGTCGTCGGGGGTCGCAGCTGTCCGCGGCGCTCCTGCGAGCCGCGGCCACGGCGGCAACCAGGGAGGCAGCGGCGGCCCTGGCCTTGCTCGAGCAGGGCCGAAGGCTCGGCCTCGCAGGAACGACAAACGCGGAGGATGACCTGGCGCCGCTCGGTGAGAGCGAGGAGATTAGGGCGCCCAAGTGGCACGAGGGAGCCTACCCCAGGGCCCCCGCGTTTATCGAGACGCTGGCTGCCGAGAGTGGCGGGCTCATCGCTCTCAAGATCACTCAGGTCGCCTCCAGTGCGAAGGATGTGCGCAGCGATCCTGGGAACTCCATGTTCAAGGCAATCTTCGAGGGGAGGTACGTGTGCGCGGTCGAGTGACGACCCTGCGATCATCCATTTCTGCGGCCCCGACGAGGGCCCCAGGCCGTGTGGTATTGGAGCACAGCATGACGCCCCTATGACTCACCTCGGGAAGTGGCGTGATGCCAAGCACCCCGTCGAGGAGGACCGGAGTGCTCAGCACGGCGAGCTCGGGAGCGAGACGGCCAAGGTCCCTCCCGGCGGGAATCTTGCCGACGATGCGAGCGAGAGGCCCAGCGACCAAGGCTTTCGTGGGGGTCCCGGTCTACTGCCAACAGCGCGCCTGTGCCAGTACACCCACTGCGCAACATGAATTGCCTGCCCGCTAACCCCAAAGGCACTACGTGATGCGAAGGGAATGCTCAGGTATCCTGAACTATCGAGGCGGAGGACTTGCGCAATTCTTTGCTTGGCGAGCACTTGTTTATTCCAACTGAGCATGCCCCACTTGATCATTATCGTTGGATGCGTGGTCTTATGGGTACAGGAATTGTCCATCGTGTACGCTGGTGCGACATTCGGGATAGAACCGCAAATGGCCAGACCACACAGGGAGTATAATGAGTTGTTGTTGTCGTGATGCCTGGAACCCAATCGTTCAAACATGGCATGGCGGAGGCTGATGAGATGTCGGTGGAGGTAGCTCCCGACACCCAGTCTCGAGGCTTAGTGGCTTCGAAGGCGCCCGATGTTCGGGGAATGGATCCGTTTGGGCGTATTCTTTTTGGGGCCCCAGCAATCTTCCCAGGAATTTCGGGTGCAATTTATTGCAGGTCGTTCTGCCTGACTCACTGTACGGTGTATGGGCGCGCGTGAGATTGCACAGCGGCTGAGTGCAGCGCTGTCCCGTTCTCTCCGACGTTAGAGGGGGTCCCCCGGGGGGGGGGCATCGACGCGTTTCTCTGTTGTCTGGCTCAGGCACGCGCGCCCTTCTTGAATATGGTAGCTAATCGTTGCAAGGATTGCGATCCCCATTTTCACACCGTTCTACATCTCATGACATTTACGTCCATGACGGCCGAAGACAGCCCAAAAAACGCCCAAGCTACCTCCACGACGGCTTCAGGGATGCCCAAGAGGGCCCCGAAAGGGTCCGAGAGCGCCCAAAGAGGGTCCAGGATGGATTCGCGAAGGCCAAAATGGCGGTCAAGACGCCCCACGAGGTCTCTAGCAAGACGCCTAAGAGGCACAACTCGCCGCGCTTCCCCCGGGAAGGCGTACATTTGTAGCATATCTGCTGCATTGGTCGTTACAGCGTCCACGACGGCCGGAGAGGCCCCAACGATCGCTCCCATTACGGCACATGGAGCACCCGAAACCGCCCCGAGGCGGCCCTCATGGCGGTTCATGGAGGGTTCCAGGACGATAGAGAGGCCCCAGGACGGCCCAAAAGAGGCCTTGCTTGCCCCAAGACGTCCCAAGAGTGCCCCAGGAGGGCCACAGGCCCAGAGTGCCCTGAAAGGGCCCCAAAAGGGCCCCAGGACGACCCAGGCACCCCCAAGAGCGCCCAACAGGGCCCCAGGACGGCTTAAAAGGTTCCCAAGACGGCCCAGAGGAACCCCAACAGGATTTCAATAATGCCTGGAGGGGCCATGTTCGTTGATTTTTGTAAGGTTGCTTGTTTGTTCCGTTTGACGTACCAAAGTCTTAACACCAAGGGGCATCAAGGCCCTGAACATGCGATCTCGCGCGCTCACAGGTACGAGCGTTTTCCGTCCCCGTGCAAAACAGGTGACGGGAAGAGCGAGGTACGAGCGATGCACGTTGGGGCGAAGCACTCGAGGGAGGCGGGCAAGGATTGGCCGTAATGGCCGCCTGGGGGCCGCTTCCCTAGTACTGTTTCGATTGAAGCGGCTCCCGGGCGGCTCCCATGGCTTGATTCCTTGGCATTTTTTTAGTGAAGCGGCTCAATGGCCCCACTACGTCCCAAGAGGGCCCCCAAACGACCCAACGACTGCCCCAAGAGAGCCTCAGATGGCTTCCTGACGGTCCCAGAGAGCCTCGAGACGATTCCAGAGGACCTCAAGAGGGCAGTCGAGAGGGCCTCAGGAGGCCAAACACATTGATTTTCATACGGTTTTTGATGGTTTTCCAGGTTCTCAGTTTCTCGGGCCCAGAAGGGCCCAACACTGCCCACGAGGCCCCGAAGACGGCCCCAGAGGCACCCCAAGGGGGCCGACAACTATCCACGAGGGCCCTCAGACGGCCCAAGAGGGCCCAAAACCGCCCAAGAGGGCCCCACGACGGCCCCAAGAGAGCCCGGGCCCCAAGAGGTTCCCAAGAGACTCCTAAGGCGGCCCGAAGAGGCAGTGTTGGGACTGAGCTGCTTTGGTGTGGGGACTCGGCTGGCTCCACGACGGCCCCAAGATCCCGAAACGGCATTCAAGAGGGCCCTCGCGAGGGCCTCAGTTGAGTTCCTTGGGGGTTTTGAAAGTTTTTCGGGTTCTCGCATTTTTCGGGCCCAGAAGGGCCCAACGAGGCCCCGAAGCTCGTCCCAAGACGGCCCCAGAGGCACCCCAAGGAGGCCGACAACGGTCCAAGAGGGTCCCTAGACGGCCCAAGAGGGCCCCCAAACAGCCCAAGAGGGCCTCGCGAGGGGAACAGTCGAAGCGGTGTGTGGACTGAGCTGCTTGTGTGTGGGGACTGGGCTAGCCCTAAGACAGCCCAAGGGTCCCAAAACGTCCCTCAATAGGGTTCCCGAGAGGGCCTCAGGAGGCCAAACACATTCATGTCCTCATTGTCCCCATATCCTAAGATGGGGTTCTTGTTACTCCCCATATCCAAGTGTGATGGGCTTCTTGCTATTCCCCATGTCCAAAGGATGAGGATCTTGTTCCCCACATCCAAGGGACGGGGTTCTTGTTATTCCCCATATCCAATGGATGGCGTTCTTGTGATTATTCCGACCGCGCCAACTCCTTCACACGCACTCCTCCTCTTCCTCTTCCGCCTCCTCATGTTATGTTATAGCATGCTATGTTTTGTTATGTCATGATATTTAAAGTTATGGAATGCGCTAACAGGTCATGTCAGTATGGGGTATTCCGTGTTATGTTATGCTATGGTATGGTGTGTTACATTATGGTATTTTGCTTGTTATGCCATAGTATGATCGCTATGATTTGGTATGTCATGCTGTGGTATTTTGCTATGGTCTGATACACCATGTTATGTTATGTTATGGTGTGGTATGCTGCGATGCTGATAATGCTGCTGGTGATGGTGATGCGGCTGATGCGGATGCTGATGATGATGGTGATGCCGTTGATGCTGATTATGATGTTGGTGATGATGATGCTGACGGTGTTGATGACGCTGATGATGATGATGATCATGATGATGATGATGAGGTTGATGATGATGATGATGTTGCTGATGCTGATGATGATGCTGCTGATGGTGATGATGATGCTGATGCTGATGTTGATGCTGCTGATGCTGATGCTGATGATCATGCTAATGCTGATGATTATGCTGATGCTGCTGCTGCTGATGATGATGCTGATGATGATGATGAATATGCTGATGATGCTGATGATGATGATGGTGCTGATGATGATGATGATGACGATGCTGATGCTGATGATGATGCTGATGAATATGATGATGATGGTGATGATGATGATGCTGATGATGATGCTGATGATGATGATGCTGATGATGATGATGATGACGCTGCTGCTGCTGCTGCTGATGCTGACGATGACGACGACGACGACGACGATGATGATGATGATGATGATGCTGATGACGATGATGATGATGATGATGATGATGATGATGATGATGATGATGAAGATGATGATGATGATGATGATGATGATGATGATGATGATGATGATGATGATGATGATGATGCTGATGATGATGATGATGATGATGCTGATGATGCTGATGGCGGAGCAATTTCTGAGGATGTCTCGAGCCAAGCGAGGGTTTCAGCGTGTCGCCATGGGGGTATTGTACTCCTCCGTTCGCGCCAAGATGGCGGGGATGCCTCGAGCGGTTGCTTGTTTTGGTGCCCGACATCCTCCGCGTTTGAAGCAGATGTTGAGGTTGCCTAGAGCGAGGCGCTCATGTTCGCCCCCTAAAGGGGAGCAGATTTTGAGGATGCCTCGAGTGGTTTGCGTATTTTCCTGGCCAGACTCGTGGGCACGGATCTTCTTCAGGATGCCACAGGAGGCTCCAGGAGGCTCCAGGAGGGCACAAGAGGTAGCAGGAGGTATCAAGAAGATCTATGCAGACAGACGTGACATCATCGTGCAACAGTTACACTGTTTGAGAGCGGGTTCTTGCCAAACCAGTGTTCTCGATGGAAGTTTTTTTGAGCTTGTATGGTCCTCGTCTTTGCATTCCTCATAGCTCGGATGATGCAGGATGCGCATTCTATTTCCAAAGCGAGGCCCTCGCTGGAAGTGCAGGCCCATGAGGAGCTCGATTTCCAAGGGAGCGCGTCCCGTTTTGAGCATACTATCTTGTAGGAGATGCTTGTGAGGAGGGGGCTCGAGACAGGAAGGTGCTTCGCAGCATCGTTGATGCGTCTGGGGTTACTCTGGGTCTTCTCCTTCTCCCCCTCCTCCCATATGCGTGCTACTCTGCTCTCTTCCTTGACACTAACCCCATGCCCACGATAATAAAGTACCCCCCCTGTACACATATGAGTTGATTATCGATGGCCAGGTGGCGTTTGCGTGTGGGCGCGGGGCGCGGAGGCCGAACTTCATTATCACGGGGCAAAGTTCGCCATCGAGGTTACTCCCTTCTTAAGTTGAGATAACAACACCAAGCGACGCGAACACGTTTTTCAGGATGTCTCAAGCGAAACCAATATCCTTCTGTCTCTTTGTAGGTCTTTCTGTCTTTCTTTCTTTCTTTATTTCTCTGTCTCTCTCTCTCTCTCTGTCTCTCTCTATCTCTTTCTCCTCCTCCCCCCTCTGGCGCCCTGAACTTGTTTATCGCTGGGGTTGATTTTCCTGGGAAAACGAGGCACGTGAGCTACCCTACACGAGCAGATGAAACGTTTAATTTTCATTAAGCGTTTACACATTCAATATAATAAGGTTTAAACTTTGGATTTTTGCTATCTCATTCTCATCTCCCCCTCTTGCTCTTTCTCCTCCTCCTCCTCTTCCTCCTCTACCTCCTCTTCTCTTTCTATATTTTTATTTACCTCTCTATCTTTCTTCTCCTCCCCCTGCCCCCCTGAACTTGTTTATCGCTGTGGTTGATGACCCTGGGAAAACGAGGCGCATGAGGAAACTCTATAGAAACTCCGAGCTTCAGTTCCGTATTATAAACATATTAAAAGCCGGCACGTTCCTTCAGCCTCCGTAAAGGGCTCCAGAATTTTTCAATTTCGTTTTTGGAATTAAGTGTCGATTCGTTAATGGTGAATAATATAGAAGTGAAGCTCAGAGGCGCGCGCGCGCACCTCCGAGCTTCAGTTCTGTATTATAAAGATAGTAAAAGCCGACACGTTCCTTCAGGATGTTTCAGAGAGGACTAAAAGCTAAGGATGTCTCAAGATATCCTCGGCTTTGGCTCCTCTGTTGACATCTTTCTGCTGGCCTCTGGTGGGCAACTTTTATTATCACTCCGTGACGCCGAACTTTATCATCCCTGGGGGCTTATTCTCTATAGCATGGGGTTATCTTGTGCGAGGGCGCCCCCAACCCGTATACAGGTTCAGGCACACAGGATTATCAGTTGGTTTCCTTTATCTTTTGTAGAACGCCCACTTTTTGGGTTGCGCACCACGCGATGGGTGATTTGAGGATCAAGGTCATCTGGAACACACCAGCCTGCGATAAGAAACGACTTCAGCGCAACGGGAAGGGATGGCTGGGAGGGGCCAGGATGCCAGACATGTCGCGAGTGCACTTGGCTTGCCCTCTCCGTCTCTTACCCTCTTTTCTTCTTCCCCTCTACCTCCACCTCTCCCTCCTCCTGCTCCTCCTGCTCCTCCTCCTCCTCCTCCTCCTCCTCCTCCTCCTCCCAAATCCTCCCGAATCCTCCTCCTCCGTCCTCCCTCCTCCTCCTCCCTCCTCCTCCTCCCTCCTCCTCCTCCTCCTCCTCCTCCTCCTCCTCCTCCTTCGCTGCCGACCCTCGGCAGCTCAGTGAACGGCAAAAAAGGCATCATCGCCCACCGCTTGCCCCCAAGGTTGTCGCCCAATTTTGTTCTGCCCATGTCTTGGATGACAGCGGACGCCAGTGCAAGGTTTGTAAAGGATCGGCCTCTCAGAAAGCTCTCGTTGACTGGTTGCGGACCCCGTGTTTTAACTTGGAGCCCGTCGACGGAACTCATATGAAGGTGCCTGCCCAAAAACATATTCATTGTGCTGGGGGGTGGATACGCGAGTCTCACACGCTTTTTTACCACACGGATTTGACTCTGTGGTACTGTGGTGTTTGTGGGTATATAGCGAGTGCTCAGCTCAGGTCTCTTCGTGAGCCTTGTAAGGGGCACCCCACGGACACCACCAAGCAATACCTGTCCAGGATCAGTGCTGGCCTCTGGCCCAAAGTCCTCTCTAAGAGGGAGCGGATTGCCAGAGGCCGCGATCCTGCTTAATTCACGGTAACGCTTCGCGTTTTCACCAGTTCCAGTTCCAGTTCCTCCTCTCCACACCCCTTTCCCCTCTCCTCTCTGCCCTCCTTGGGCCGCCCCGCCCAGGACCCGGAGGGCGGCGAGCCCTGCGTGGAGATCGGGGAGCGCGCGGAACTTCCCGACTCAGGAGGGCCCCCGCAGCGCGCGCCTCCTAGAGGACCGACGTTGAGGAGGAGGAGGGGGAGGAGGAGGAGGCGGAGGAGGAGGAGGAGGAGGAGGAGGAGGAAACGGGTGGATGGAGAAGGAGGGAGGGAAGAGAAGGGAAGGGAAGAGGAGGGAACCCTCCTTTCCGCTCCCCCCTGCTCCTCCCCCCCCCATCCACCCCGCCCTCCTCGACCGCTCGAGCGCTCCGCAGGTCCAGGCCCTCCGGCGACATCTCGCCTTCGCGAATTCCCCGGACCTCGGGCCCTCGCCCCAAACCGCCGCCACCGAAGCGCCGTGGAGGCTCGCGAGAGGCCGACACAGGCCCCAGAAGAGCCCCCATCATGTTCTTATATTTTGGTTTATATGCGTATATATATATATACACATGAATAAGTACATCAAACTGGCAAAACATAATCAATACGCAGATCAACAATACAAACATTGACACATATCTTGTTAAACAACCTTGGGGCCCACTTTTGGGCCTCTTGGAGCCGCTTTGGGCCGCTCCGGGAATCAGAGGAGCTCTGGAGGCTCCAGGAGGAGGAAGGGCTGTCAGGAGGACGTCGTCGCGTTATGTCGGGCCTGTCCCTCTACAGAAGGAATATTCAAAGATATTCTTTACAGAATAGTCCGGGGATTTTTTTTGAGTATGTTTTAGATATTGTCGAGAATTTTGGGTTTTTTTTTAAATCTTCGTCCAAAATCCGCCTGTAGGGGGACATGCCCGACCTAATCGTTGCGTCCTTCAGTCGGAAGATACCCTTGCAGGGTGTGGAGTGAAATCAAGTTGTGCACCTGCTCCGGAGAAGAGGAACTAGGGATCAGAGAGTCGGGAGCCCTGAGACGGGGGTCAATGCAAACGGGGGTCAGCCAGAGCGCCCGATCTTGCAGGATCCTGCAGGGCCAAGGTCGCATTGACCCGGGCTTGGGTGCAGGATCCTGCAGGATCTTGCAGGATCTTTTTCATTAACCCGAGTTTTGGTGCAGGATCTTGCAGGCTCTTGCAGGATTCTGCAAGGCCCGCCTGACCCGGGTCAGGATTGACCCGGGTCAGAAGATCCCCGAATCAGAGCAGGGCTGGTCCTAAACGCCGTTTTGCTGGACCTCGTGGACTTCGGCTGTGTTTTGTTTGTTCTGGCAGGGAGGTACAGGAGGACAGGCAGTGCAAAACGAGAAACAACACGAAAACGAAACGAAGAACAACGATTTGGTCCAGCCCCGAATCAGAGAGCCAATGCCCAGCATCCCCCAGGAAGAGTGCCCTTCGAACCACTGCCGCAGGTCCGACGGGGACCGGGGGAGCGGGCCGCACGGGCCGCGGAGCCCGTGGGCACCAATGCTACGGCACCGTGTGCCCACGCTCGGTCTCCTCCCCCTCCTGCTCCTCCTCCTCCTCTTTCTCCTCCCCCTCCTCCTCCCCCTCCTCCTCCTCCTCCTCCTCCTCCTCCTCCTCCTCCTCTTGCACGCTAGACAATCTGCCTATCTGTTGCCTGGAGTCGGGCCTGTCCCTCTGCAGGAGGGATATTCACACATAGTCAGAAAATAGTCTGGGGACTATTTTTCTACCACCTTTGCTTATTTTGGGGGTATGTTTTGAGTATTTTTCATTTCTCGCCCAAGACCCGTCTGTAGGAGGACATGCCCGACCTAAGATGAGCCCCACGCTGTTGCGGATTGCCTCCCTCTCACTGCCGACGGACAAAAGTGTGCCCACGCTTGCCACGCAACAGACTGGCATGCCAGCTTTCCCCACCACCTCTCACCCTGTGGGAATGGCTTGCTCACGTGTTGCCTTAGGTCGGGCATGTCCTCCTACTTCGGCGCTACGAAAGTTCGGCCAAAATTCAACGCCTTGCGTTAGGCGACGGGGCCCCAGTACAACGGTGGCAGTGGGCCCGTTAGGCCGCGGCGGGGCCCCAGTACAATGTTCGGCTGAAGCATGTTTCGCTCCAGTCTCGGGCGGCACCGCCCTTTCGAAATCGAGCCCGCGGGTTTCGAAATCCAGTCGAGCTCGTTTTGGGGAGGAAGTCCTAGGCGAAAGCCACATTTCGAAATCGAGCCCGAGGGTTTCGAAATCCAGTCGAGCTCGCTTTGGGGAGGAAGTCCCAAGCGAAAGCTGCATTTTCGAGTTTCCTGGTCAGGGCTTTTGAAAAGTTTAAATACCAAACGGTGTGGCCATTTCGAAACGGCGGTTTCGCTTGATACTTCCCCGAAAAAGCGACTTCGAACGATTTCGAAACTTTCGGGTTCAATTTCGAAATGGCGCTCCCGCCTAGGACTTCCGCAACAATAGAATTCGAAACCTTTCTGCTTCGATTTCGAAATGGCGCTCCCGCACAGGACTTCCTCAAACATAGAAGTCGCACAGTTTCTGCCTCGATTTCGAACTGGCGCGCCCGCGCAGGACTTCCTGCAATCTTGGGTTCGGCATTTGTTCCGTTCGAACTCGAAATGGCGCTCCCGCCCAGGACTTCCTCTCAAACAGAATTCGAAATGGCGCTCCCGCCCAGGACTTCCTCCAAAACAGAACTCGAAACCTTCGGGTTCGATTTCGAAATGGCGCTTCCGCCCAGGACTTCCTCAATCAAGACTACGATCAGAGACGCGACCACGACCGCGACCACGATCGCGACCATTACGACGACGACGACGACGATGACGACGACGACGACGACGGCGACGAGTGATGCTCACGGCCGTCTTGGTGGTCATAACCAATGTGATGCTCAGGCGTTGTTTCGCTGAAAACACAAAACGGGTCAAAACTTTCGTAGCGCCGATGGGCGTCTTGCATGTGCGCAACGCAGCGTGCAACGCAACCATATGTGTTTTGGAGTGCCACTGGGCATTTTACATGTGCGCAGCGCAGCGTGCAACGCAACCATGTGTGGTTTGAAGTTCCACTGGGCATCTTACACGTGCGCAGCGCAGCGTGCACAGCAGCCATATGTGGTTTAAAGCTCCATGGGCACTTTGCACGTTCGCAGCGCAGCGTGCAACGCAACCACAAATGGTCTGAAGTTCCACTGTGCATCTTCCATGTGCGCAGCGCAGCGTGCAAATCAACCATATGTGGTTTGAAGTTCCATTGGGCATCTTGCACGTGCGCAGCGCAGCGTGCAAACCAACCATATGTGGTTTGAAGTTTCACTGGGCATCTTACATGGGCGCAGCGCAGCGTGCAAAGCAACCACATATGGATTGAAGTTCCACTGTGCATCTTACATGTGCACAGCGCAGCGTGCACATCAACCACATGTGGTTTGAAGTTCCACTGCGCATCTTACATGTGCGCAGCGCAGCGTGCAAATCAACCGTATGTGGCTTGAAGTTCCACTGTGCATCTTACATGTGCGCAGCGCAGCGTGCAACGCAACCACATGTGGTCTGAAGTTCCATTGTGCATCTTACATGTGCGCAGCGCAGCGTGCAAAACAACCATATGTGGTTTGAAGTGTCACTTCGCCGCTACGAAAGTTCGGCCAACATCCAACGCCTCCCGTGAGGCGACGGGGCCCCAGTACACCATTGGCAGTGGGCCCGTTAGGCCGCGGGGCCCCAGCACAATGTTCGGTTGAAGCATGTTTCGCTCCAGTCTCGGGCGGCACCGCCCTTTCGACATCGAGCCCGCGGGTTTCGAAATCCAGCCGAGCTCGTTTTGGGGAGGGAGTCCTAGGCGAAAACCACATTTCGAAATCGAGCCCGAGGGTTTCGAAATCCAGTCGAGCTCGCTTTGGGGAGGAAGTCCCAAGCGAAAGCTGCATTTTCGAGTTTTCTGGTCAGGGCAGTTAAAATTTTAACAGCCAAACGGTGTGGCCATTTCGAAGCGGCGGTGCCGCTTGATAGTTCCCCGGAAAAAAAAAAAACACGAGTTCGAACGATTTCGAAACTTTCGGGTTCAATTTCGAAATGGCGTTCCCGCCTAGGACTTCCGCAACAATAGAATTCGAAACCTTTCTGCTTCGATTTCGAAATGGCGCTCCCGCACAGGACTTCCTCAAACATAGAAGTCGCAAAGTTTCTGCCTCGATTTCGAACTGGCGCGCCCGCGCAGGACTTCCTGCAAACTCGGGTTCGGCATTTGTTCCGTTCGAACTCGAAATGGCGCTCCCGCCCAGGCCTTCCTCTAAAACAGAATTCGAAATGGCGCTCCCGCCCAGGACTTCCTCCAACACAGAATTCGAAACCTTCGGGTTCGATTTCGAAATGGCGCTTCCGCCCAGGACTTCCTCAATCAAGACTACGATCAGAACCGCGACCACGACCGCGACCACTACGACGACGACGACGACGACGACGGCGACGACGAGTGATGCTCACGGCCGTCGTGGTGTTCATATCCAATGTGATGCTCAGGCGTTGTTTAGCTGAAAACACAAAACGGGTCAAAACTTTCGTAGCGCCGATGTACAAGCGGATTTTGGATGACACATGAAAACAAGAAGAGCATACCCCCAACAGATCAAACATGGTCGAAAACTAGTCCCCCGACTATGTTCTGCTACTTGTGAATATTCTTCCTGTAGAGGGACAGGCCCGACTTAGAAGTGTTGCCCCGTGGTCTGCCCACACTGTTGGCCTCGGACGCGGCAGAACTCCAACCCTTGTCAGCCACGTGCGTGGGCTCGCTGGCGATCCTCAGGTGTCCAACGTGTGGCGATGAGCGGCGCTCGGCCTGCAGGAGGTTGGCCACCTTCCACGCCACGACCCGGCGGGCTGAGTGCGGTGAGGCCGCCGACAGGAGAGAGGGACGAGCACGGGAGCGACATTCGGTGCGCCGTGCGAGCCAGAGCATCCACGAGGCCGTCGCTCAAGCGTGCACGCTGCTCGGTGCCCCGCGCACGCAGGCTCTCCCCCCTGGCGCTGGGCCTGCGCTGCCACGGCCTCTGCCCGCCCCGCTCTTACAGCGCTCGGGACTTCGCCATCGACGTAGCTTTGAGTCGGGCCTGTCCCTCTACAGGGGAACTATTCAAAATAGTCAAACGAACTGGTCTGGGCACGATGCTTGGAGTATTTGTTTACCGTTATTTTTGGGCTATCTTTAATTTTTTGTCCAAGATCCCGTCTGTAGGAGGACAGGCCCGACCTAAACGTAGCTCCCATCGCTCTGATACCCCCCACTTGCCGATAAGTCTATGTGGCGAGATGGGGCCTCCGTTGCTGGATCGCGCGCGGGGCCAACCATCCAGGAAGAAGGAGAAGAGAGGACCGCTTCGCCCGCTGGGGAGGGCCGTTGCTCGGCTCTCCCCGTCCTCGCCTTGTCGATCGTCCTCGCACGATGGACACTCCCACGCCACGTGTAACAGCGTAGCTGGCTGGCCACACCGAGGCTCACGCCACGGCTCATTTCTCGGCCCATTTGGGTTCTGCGATGTTGCTTATCTCGCATGGCTCTCCCGTTCTATGGTTTGTTGCCTTGCGCTTGTGATGCGTTCGCCGGCAGTGGCCTGAGGAGGGATGGTGAAGTCGTTGTGGGTGCTGTCAGCGCTCACCGAGATAGTTGGATTGACGCTCTTCCAACCAGCTTCCTGCATCCATGGGTGCATGTCTGCCAATGACTCACTGGACTTGATTAGCCAGGTAGCTGATTCGGGTTTCCCTTGGCAGTCCTGGAGGCCTGAATCAGCTCCCTAACCGTCAAGCCGTCACCCTGCAAGAGCTCGGAATTCGACGCCTGCCTCCATTCCTTATGGTATCTCTTCATTTTGGACGCTGCCAAGCCGAGGGGATCGCGACTGGGATGTGATGGCCATGCCAAGTGGAGGGGCCGCCGCTGATGCCAAGGGACTTCGCTTCAGCTCCCCTCTGCTACCTGATTTCCTGTGGCGTGTGCCCGGGGATTGTCCTGCCGCAGGTAATTCGCAGAATATCGAACAGCGGAGACGAGGATTCGTCTTTTTCCATGGCGCAGCGTTTCTTCGTTCGAGACTTCATCCATAACCACCGCCTGGGGGTTCGGTCTCCGCGGACCTCCACGGGCGGTGGACAGATGGACCCAGCCAGGCCCCCGGGGTCCGAAGCCCATACGTATCCATATTCACCGCCCGCTCGGGCACCGGAACGTCGGTTCCCAGGCGGCGGATTTGGATACGTCCCCGCCTCGCGCATGGGTGACGCCTGACGCGTCCCGCCCGCAGGGTGGCGACGATGCTCTCCAGAGACACAGTCGGCTCCGAGCTCATTCGAGGCATGGCCGGGTACGCCCGCAGCTTCTGCGAGGGTTTGCCCTCCTGCCTCCAGGCGTGAGGAGGGGAAAGGACACGGACACAATCCGTCGTCGATCCCAGGGCAATCTGGGAAACTATATAAAGGGGGGGGAAGACGGAACTCCAGAAGATCTTTGTGCCCCTTCAGTGTGCATGAGCTTGTCAGGTCTCCGTGAAACTCGGCTTGTCCATGGCAAGCGGGATTCCAGGGGCATCGTCGACGAGTCTCGCTAGGGATGTGGCCCGCTCTTTCATTCGACCAGGAAAAAACACCATAAACATAAACTTTTGGCGCTCCGAGCGGATTTCTTTGATCTGCGCCTGGGCCCCCCATGGCTGGCAGCGCCTCCAGCGCCGCCCCTGGCGCGCTCCGCAAGCCAGGGAGGGGGGTCCAGCGCAGCTCCAAGAAAACCGCACGGAGCGCCAAAAGTTCATGTTGATGGCGTTTTGTTGTTGTTGTTGTTGTTGTGGTTGTTGTTGTTGTTACAAATGTTTAAATATTATTTATATTCAACGAATGGTTTTGTAATATTATTCTAATCGTGGTGCTCACTCATGCGTGGAAGCTCAGAGCGCCCACATCCAGAAACGCATCGTCGGTATGAACGCTCAGCGTGGCCACCCCAGCGCGCGGCAGCTGCCCAAGCTGTGGCTTCGGCGTGCCCCGCGTTCCTCCCTCCTCCCCCTGGCTTTGCCTTGCCCCACTGGAGGAGTGAATCGGCAGAGACAAGAGTTAAGTCGAGCGTGTCCCTCTGTAGGAGGAAAGTCCGAAAACAGCTGAAAAATAGTCAGGGGACGATGTTTCGAATATTGTTTGACTATTTTGGAGTACTCTCAGACTGTTTCGTATCTTTTGTCCAAATCCGCCTGTATGGGGACGTGCCCGATCTGAGACAAGAGGGACGGTGAACTGTGAAGTCATTGCCGAACAGGCCCGCAGGGGGCAGGCTACTGTGGTAACATGCGAACAGGATGAGAATCTCTGTCTGGACCACATCGCGCGCTCGCCCGAGACATGAAAGCAGGATCCAACTCACGCCCTACCTCTCGAACCTGCGCTCTCTTCCTCCATTGCACACAGCTTCCATTCACCCAGGCTGCCTCGATGCGTGCTCGAGCTTCGTATGCAATGTTTTCGTTCCCCTGTCGATGACCTCCCCGCGCCCCCCCCAAGCACGCGGAGCCGAGTCAAAAAACCGGCGGGGCGCCAGCAGCTCGCACCGAGCGTGCCCCCGGCGCTGGCAGGGCCCACAAAGTGCTCGTGGTCGGGCGAGGACTGCAGCGGCACGAGGTGCTGCAACGACGCCAACATGCACTGCTGGAAGAAGGACCGCGCGGCGCGCCGCGCGCGCGCCGCGCGCTGCCCCGAGCCCTCGGGGCTTGGCGGTCGTCGTCGTGGTCTTGGGCGTGCTGGGCTTGCCCTCGCACCTGCGATTATGAGTGGCGGATCGGGAGGAGGAGGAGGAGGAGGAGGCGGAGGAGGAGGAGGAGGAAGAGGTGGAGGAGGAAGAGGAGGAGAAGAAGGAGGAGGAGGAGCAGGATGATGAGGAGGAGGTGGAGGAGGAGGAGGAGGAGGAGGAGGAGGAGCAGGACGAGAATGAGGATGAGGAGGAGGAGGAGGAGGAAGAGGAGGAGGAAAACACGGAAACGGGCCCCTCCTAGGGCCGTCTTGGGGCCCTCTTGGTCGATCTTGGGCGCTTTGGGGCCGTTTTTGGGCCCTCTTGGACCGTCTTGGGGCCCTCTTGGGGGCCTCTCGGGCCGTCTTTGGACGGTTTGGGGGGCCTCTGGGGCTATCTTGGAGCGTCGGAAGCCCGAAAACGCGAACACGCGAAAAACATAAAACACACAAAGACAACTTTTGGCCCTCTTTGGGGTCCTCTTGGAGCGCTCTTGGGGCTTCTGGGGCCTCTTGGGCCATCCTGGGGCCATCTTGGGCGTCTCGGAGCGTCTTTTCGGCGACGAGGGACTTTCTTGGGCTGTCTTGGGCCGCGCTTGGGGCTTTCCGGGACGCTCTGAGGGCGGCGCTCCTGGGACAACTATTTCTGACTTGAGTTTCCCGGGACCTTGCTGGGGGTTTGCCGGAGACTTGCCAGGGTAGTTTCCGCCCAGGGAAGCCCAGGAGCCGCCACGCGCGCGCGAACTACAAGTTTACCAAAGTAGCTACTGGAGATTTTAGCAGGTCTCTGGCATTGGGCCCGCGAATGTTGTTGGTGATGATGATAACGATGATGATAATGCTGCTGCTGCTGATGATGATGCTGATGATGATGATGATGATGATGATGATGATGATGATGATGATGTTGATGACGATGATGATGATGCTGAGGATGCTGATGGTGATGATGATGATGCTGGTGAGGATGACGGCGACGATGTTGATGTTGATGTTGTTGATGATGATGATGATGATGACGCCGCTGATGATGCTGATGATGCTGATTATGATGATGATGCTGATTATGATGATAACTACGAAGATTATGATGATGATTGTCATGCATAGTGGTTGATCCGTTTGCGGCCGCTGATTACTAAAAACGTATGGTAGTCGACTGTCATGATGATGTGTGGTCCATGATCGATAATTGCTGCAAAATGATGGGCGGTGAAAGCGACGATGAATGTGGAGGTATTGGTGATGGTGGTGATGATGATGGTACTGCCGATACTGATTCTGATGGTGCTGATTACGTATGGTGATGCTGATGATAGTGGTGATGATGATTATGATTGTGATGTGGTAATGACGTTGGTGATGATGATGGTAATGCTGCTGATGATGAAAAGGAGGAGGATGATCCTGTTGCTGATGATGATTATGATTGCTAGGATGATTATGATGATGATTACGAAGATGCTGATGATGATGATTGTAATGTACAGTGGTTGATCAATTGGCGGCTGCTGAATGCTCACATCGTACGGTAATCAATAGCAATGGTGCTTTGTGTTTCATGATGGATTATTGTTGGATGATGATGGGTGGTGATAGCGAAGATGAATGTCAAGGTATTGGTGATGGTGGTGGTGATGATGATGACTATGATGGTACTGATGATGCTGATCATGACGCTGCTGATCATGTATGGTGATGCAGATGATTGGGATGATGATGATGGTGATGATGTTGATGATGATGATGGTGGTGGTGGTGATGTCGATGACGACGATGCTTATGTTGATGCTTACGATGATGGGCATTATTATGAAGATGATGCTAGTTGTGATGATAATGGTGATGCTGATCATGATGCTGATGCTGCTGATTATGATGATGGTGATGATGATGATTACTGACACTGCCTATAACGACGACGATGACGACGTTGATGTTGCTGATGATGGTGGTGGTAGTGATGTCGATGACGACGATGATATTTATGATTATGATTATGGAGGTCATCATGATGGTCATAATGTGATGATGCTGCTGATGATTCTGGTGGTGGTGATGATGATGTCGATGACAACTATGATGATGCTGTATCTACTTATGATGTTGTTGATTATGATGATGGTGGTGGCGATAATGATGATGATGATGAGGATGATCAGGATGAGGACCTTGATGAGCATGAGGATGAGCAAGAGGAGGAGGATGATGAAGATGGTGATGGTGATGATGATGATGATGACAATGACAATGACGATGACGACGATGATGATGATGATGATTATGAAGCTGATGATGATGATGATGATGATGATGATGATGATGATGATGATGATGATGAAGGTGATGATGATGATGATGATGATGATGGTGAGTATGATGATGCTGATGCTGCTGATGATGCTGCTGATGATGTTGATTATGCTACGGCTGATGTTGATGATGATGATGATGCTGCTGATGATGATAATGACGATGATGATGATGATGATGCTGATGATGCTGATGATGCTGATGATGATGATGATGATGATGATGCTGATGATGCTGTGATGATGATGATGATGATGATGATGATGATGATGATGATGATGATGATGATGATGATGATGATGCTGCCGCTGCTGCTGCTGCTGACGATGATGATGAGGAGGAGGAGGAGCAGGAGGATAAGGAGGAGAAGGAGCAGGAGCATGTCCAAGATCATGATGATCTCTGACGAGGAGGAGAGGCGAAGCATACCGATGGCATGGAAAAGGCATCGCGGCAGAGGCGTCGAGAGGCGGCCTGGTGCGAGGATGGGCCCCGATGTTCGACCCTCGGCACCTGCGCCGTGCGTGTGCGCCCCGCCCGCTGGCGAGGGCGCCCCGACGCCTCCTCTCTGGCCCGAGGGCCCCGACGCCCGCCCCGCCTCCCTCGGCCGGCCCCTCGGCGCCGCGCGCTCATCCGGCGCCGCGCTCCGGGCCGCCGGTGCAGGCCGCGCTCCCGGCCGCGCGGCGCGTTTTCCGCCGCCCGCGCCGCCGCCGCCCCCGCCGAGGAGGAGGAGGAGGGGGGGGAGGGGGAGGGGGGAGGGAGGGAGCAGGGAGGAGGAGGAGGAGGAGGAGGAGAGGGGAGGAGGAGGAGGAGGAGGAGGAGTAGGAGGAGGAGGAGGGGGGAAGGGAAGGGGAGGGGGAGGGGGAGGGGGGAGGAGGAGGAGGAGGAGGAGGAGGAGGAGGAGGAGGAGGGGAGAGGAGGAGGAGGAGGAGGAGGAGGAGAGGAGGGAGGAAGGGGAGGGGGAGGAGGAGGAGGAGGAGGAGGAGGAGGAGGAGGAGGAGGAGGGAGGAGGAGGAGGAGGAGGAGGAGGAGGAGGAGGAGGAGGAGGAGGAGGACGAGTGTAAGCCCAAGAGTCATCGACGATGTTGGAACTAACCCTCCCTCCAGGCTCCCTCTTCACAGGCGCCTACAACGGTTCACTTGCATTGAGGGCACTGCCCAGTTGGAAGACAACCGAGTGAAGATCCTGCTCCTCGGGATTTCAACGCCACGTATCAACCTGACTGCTGCGTCTTGACGATCCGGAATCGTGGCAGAAGGCCATTTTTGGGATTTCAGCGCCGCGAATCAACATAATTGCTGCACCCGCGTAATCCTGAACCTGTCCCAAACACCATTTCTGGTAGGTTGATGACGGGAATTCGTGACACTCTTGCAAATTTTGAAAACGAATGCACGCGGCGCTAAGGCGAGAACCACATTTGCAAAAGGAACCGTCCTCAATCCGTGAAGCTTGTGCATTTTTAAACGAATGTGCGCGGCGCTAAGGCGAGAGCCACATTTTGAAAACGACCCGCCCTCAACCCGTGAAGCTCTTGCAAAGGCGAGAGCCACATTTTGAAAACCACCCGCCTCAATCCGTGAAATCTGGCACATTTTTCAAACGACTGTGCGCGGCGCTGAGGCGAGAGCCACATTTTGAAAACGACCCTCCCTCCATCTGTGCAACTCTTGTCACTTTGAAAGCTTCAGGATCACAAGTGGTGAGGAAGACTCAGGCGAAACGCCGGGCCCGCCCTTACAACTAGCCTCGGGGTGCGACAGGGAGAAGTTATTCATATGCAGAGGGAATGGAGGAGGAAGCGGAGGAGGAGGAGGAGGAGGAGGAGGAGGAGGAGGAGGAGGAGGAGGAGGAGGAGGAGGAGGAGGAGGGGAGGAGGAGGAGGAGGAGGAGGAGGAGGAGGAGGAGGAGGAGGAGGAGGTGGAGGAGCGCCCGTCGCCGCCGCCGCCCGTCGCCGCCGACCTCGCCCTCGTCGCTCGTGGCTCGCCGCTCGGCGGATCCGGGCAATCTGCGAGCAGTTGATTTGCGGGTACACCTTAGGCGATGCTTAAGAAAACCTAAGTTTTCGGCCAGAATCTCGATTATTCTTAACGTTTCAATGTAAATCCTAAGATTTGAATGGAAATTTTGGGTTTTTATTCAATTTCTGAGACTATGAATTTCTTAACCCATGATTTCTTAAGCATTTCGCAGGGTGTAGTGGCACGCGCCAGTTCAGACTCGGTCCGACTCACTGGCGTCGACCGGGCCCGCTCAGAGCCGCTCCGACCCGACGTCGCGATTCGATCCAGCTCGGGCTTGCGCGCGGTCCGGGCACCCGGGGGCCAGCCGCCTGGGGCCGCCTGGCGGATCGCCCCCTCCTTCTTCCGCCCTTCGCCCCTCTGCCTTGACACTGCCCGGACGTGTGCATCTCTTCTCGGCCGAGGACCACAGGAGGAGACTCAGGCATCATGCGCTCCATCTGGCGAAGAGTAAACGCACGAACTCGAAGCACGCCCGGGGAATCGACGTCCGAGCGATGGCGTGACGCGGCGAGTCTTCCAGCACGACGCTGGCGGACGTCGGAGGCCCCGGCGCCCGGCGCCCACGCGTGGTGAAACCAGGGAGCTCTCCAGCGGTGATAGCGCAGCTTCGTCCGCTGCCTGGCTTCAGGTCGGGCACGTCCCTCATGTGGGTCCCTCCACAGGAGGAGTATCCAATAACAGTCAAAAAATAGTCTGGGGACGATTCTTCGACCACTTTTCGACCATCTCTGAGTGAGTTTTTTTTGCATTTTTTATTTTCCGTTCAAAATCCGCCTGTAGGGGGACACGCGCCCGAACTAAGCCTGGCTCCAGGAGGTGTCGGACGACTTCTAGCTTTGTGGAGGTCGATTAATGGAGAGGAAGCGTGCTGCCAAATATTTTCCATATGTCTAAAACATGTTGCACACATGTTTCAAATCTGCAAACAAATCATGCCTGAAACGCTTTTAGATGATGGTTTACACATTGTAAGCACATCTGTGATTCAATGATCGGACTGCTAGAGTGCCCATTGTCATGGCATCCACAGTTCTAGCTTCGAGGCTCGGCGCCCTCCGCTCTGTCCCCCTTGCGCCCTCCGCCCTCCAGCAGCAGGCTCCCACATAACCTCCTGTTCGTCTGTCGCTCCCCTGCCCTCTCCCGCTTCCTCCGTCCTCCTCCTCCTCCTCCTCCTCCTCCTCCTCCTCCTCCTCCTCCTCCTCCTCCTCCTCCTCGGTCCCCTCCTCGCTCCCCTCCTCCCTCATCTCCTCCTCCTCCTCTCCTCCTCCTCCTCCTCCTCCTCCTCCTCCTCCTTGTCCTCCTCCTCCTCCCTCCTCCGCCTCCCTCCTCCTCCTCCTCCTCCTCCTCCTCCTCCTCCTCCTCCTCCTCCTCCTCCTCCTCCTCCTCCTCGGGGTCCCCTGGCCGAGGGCCAGGGATGCTCAAGCCACTCGCGGCGCGCCCCCTGCGCGCCCTCCGCGCTGCGGCCCGCCGCCCGCTGGCCCACACGGTTCCCCGCGCGGCCCCCCGCTGCTGCGGCGGGGCGGCGTTCGGCGCGGCGGCGGAGGCCGCGGATCGTCGGGCCGCGGGCGCCCGGGGTCAGAGGAGGGAAAGGCACCGCCGCCGCTACAGTGGAGGCCCATGCCAAGAAACACCAGGGTGCCCAGGGTTTCTTCGGTTGCGAGGGCTTTGCTCTGGAAGGCGTGACGTGCCCACGCCAGGAATCAGTGGACGATCTGGGGTCTCGGGGTCGGGTGTCTTGTGGAAGGTCTCTTGTGGTCGGGCCCCTACTGTACACCCTCGCCTCGCTTTTCCTCTTTTGGCCCTCCTGGGCGGCCCTCGTCGCCATGGCTGGCTTCGCCTCGAGCTCCTGGTCAGAGCGCGCCCAGGGAGAGGTCCGGGGAGTACCGCTATCGGTGCCTTTCGGTTTCTCCAGGTGGCCCGCTGGGCCTGGGGCTGGCCGGACACTGGGAGGGCGCCGGCGCCAGCTGTACACTCGGGGGCGTGCCGCCGCGGGCATTGTCCGTCTGAGAGAGGTCGCCTGCCCAACAGCGGTCGTTGTTTCAAATCGGGCGTGTCCCTCTACAGGAGGAACATTCAGAAATAGTCCAATAATGATATTGGGACGATTTCTAGATTATTTTTTTGATTTGTTGGTAAGAACCTGTTTTGGCTATTCTTTATTGTTCGTCCAGGGTCCGCCTGTAGAGGGGGACCTGCCCGACCTGATCGCTGTTGGTCCTGGGCAACATTTGCTGTTGGGTGTCGTACCCACTTTTTTTTCTTGCCCATTTCGGGCGTGCCAACACACCCATGCCTCCGACGATATGTTTTTTCCCCATCGCGGCGCTGCTCCTGCACTTCGGCCCCCAGGGGGGCCATCCTCGGGTCGCGGGGCCATCGAGAACGGGTCCGCGGCTCAAACGTGCCCCCGGAGAAGTGGTTGGGAGCCCCAAAGCCTCGGCTGGAGCAACACTTCACATGGGAGGCCGTGTGGGCACCTGGGCGACCGCTCCTGGCCAGGCCGATCCTGGTCCCAGGATTGGTGCTCATGCCTTCCTGCCCAAGCCAGGAAGGCGAACACAGTCAAGACGCTGAGGTGAAACAACCTCTTTGGGCTCATGATGGGCGCTGGTTTTCGGCCGTTCGTGACCGCCGTGGCCGGAAACGCCCCTTCGTCTCGTCTTCAGTGTTGCTTATGGCAGTACGACGACTTCTTCCTCCTCCTCACTTCCTCCTCCTCACTTCCTCCTCCTCACTTCCTCCTCCTCCTCCTCCTCCTCCTCCTCCTCCTCCTCCTCCTCCTCCTCCTCCTCCTCCTCCTCCTCCTCCTCCCCCCCAGAAGGAGCAATACAGAATGAGCCTGGCCAGCATCGGTGTGTAGGTGTATGGCTGCTGGCACCCTCCTAGGAGCAGCTGCGGGCGTGGCCGCCGTCATGGCCTCGGCGGCGCCTCGGCGGCGTGCTCAAGGGGACACGGTAGAGCGAGGGAGGGGTACGGTGGCGTGGTCGACGTCGCCGTCGCCGTCGTTGTCGTCGTCGTCGTCGTCGTCGTCGGCGCCGCTGTGCCGTAGACTGGGGTTTCAGGCGGTTGCAAACATGGATTAATGGGGGCGTGGATTAGCGAGGGTTCCCACCGAGGGTTCCCAGAGGCTCGCGTCGCTGCGGCCGGGTGCGGCTCGGAACGCTCCGCAGCATGGACCTCGCGGCGGGGAGGTCGCCCCGAGGCCGGCTTATGAGCGGGTTCTGGTCGGGGACGGGGTTGATCAGGAGGGAAAAAACAGACACAATTAATCGCCGATTACACAGAAAATATTGGAAAATATGGGAAGTGGGGGGGAAGACAAAGACCCAGAAAATATAGGAAAATATGGGGAATCCTTTACTTGAAGTGTATTCATTTGCGTGTCCCAGGGCCACTTCAGTTGAGAAGGCCCCCCGCCGCTCGGAAGCCCCCTTTCCTTCTACAGGCAGGCCCTCCTGCACAGAGAGCCTGCAGGGAGGGGCCGATCCCTGCCGAAGGGCTCCCCCCGCCGTCAGTCGGGCCGCCCCCGCTTTGCCTGCCCCCCCCCGCGCGCGCGTCCCCGAGGCGCCGTTGGACGGGCGGCGCGGCGGCGCGGCCAGGGCGGCGGACGACCTGAGCCATGAGCTCTTCGCGGACGA